ATAGCTCACTGCAGCCTCCAACTCCTGGGCTCAAGTGATCCTCCTGCCTCAGCCTCCTGAGTAACTAGGACTACAAGCATGAGCCACCATACATGCTCTTTTTTTTTTTTTGAGATGGTCTCGCCAGGTTACCCAGAGTTGGTCTCAAACTCCTGACCTAAAATGATCCTCCCACTTCAGCCTCCCAAAGCGCTAGGACTACAGACATGAGCCACTATGCCAGCCTCTGCCTAATGACTCATAGCTCCCTCTTTCACTCTCAAATGTCATGGTTTGAACAATAAATTATATGATGACCCTACTTATAGACCTTCATATATGAGACAGAAATCAATTTAAGTACACAGGTAAATTAAAAACTGCAGTTCTGATAAATTCAAAGGGGGAAAGAGGGGATTCTTTTTTTTTTTTTTTTTTTTTTTTTTGAGATGGTCTCGCCAGGTTACCCAGGTTGGTCTCAAACTCCTGACCTAAAATGATCCTCCCACTTCAGCCTCCCAAAGCGCTAGGACTACAGACATGAGCCACTATGTCCAGCCTCTGCCTAATGACTCATAGCTCCCTCTTTCACTCTCAAATGTCATGGTTTGAACAATAAATTATATGATGACCCTACTTATAGACCTTCATATATAAGACAGAAATCAATTTAAGTACACAGGTAAATTAAAAACTGCAGTTCTGATAAATTCAAAGAAGAGGAAATGATATCAAGGAAGCAAATACGGGGGATTTGTCCTAGACCAAAATACCAGAAAAGAGGTGTCACCCTAGGAGGTGACAATAAGGATGAGGTGAACGAAAAGGGAGAGCAATCCAGGCTTGGGAACATCAAGGAGGAAAAAAATCAAGAGTCTATATTGCATTTTAAACTATTGCTATTATTACCATTTATTATAATTTTACTTCTATCATTTTTAATACAACAAAGGAAACCAGTGTTTTTGCTAACAGCAAGAGAACCGGAGGAGTTTTTGTTTAACTGGCTGAATTAATTATAACAGGTAAATTAAGGCAGCTAGTGAGTTAAATATTTAAAATTCAATTTTCTAAAACATACAGGAAGTAAATCTAATTTCCTATGAAAACAATACACAAAGTAACATAGTCTCAATATTAAACTCAATATAACAATCAGCGATTACAAGGTGTGTCTCAATTTTAGGCTGACAAAATACACAATAAATGAAACTCTAAGAAGGGAAGACTTCACCCCACCTGGCTATGGTTTATATTCTTAGTATCTTTAAGGAATCTGATGTGTAAATATCCCTGTCTTTTTACAAAAGGCTAGCTCGGTGTTTGCTACCTTCAAGCAAAGGTACAAAGTTCCTGAATTCCTTAAGGTTCCTCTATTTAAAACTGTACATAGAGTGTCCAAAGTCCCCATGGGGGCAGGGTGGTCAAAGCATGATCAAGGGCAGCAAGAAGGGGAAGGTGGCTGGGGGCAGGGGGGTCAGAAAGAGGGTCTTGGGAGTGAGGAGGTGAGGCTGGGATGGGGCCCACCCATGCTGTCCCCAGCCCATTGCTGTTAGCCATGGGGAGGAGCGTGGGCCTCATTCTAGGAGCCATGAGAAGCCACAGAAAAATGTGACTGCCTTTAGAGGGTGGCCTTCTGGAAAAGACCTCATCAGATCTGAATTTTGGTCTCACAGGGGCCAGAGTGCATGCTGGGCAGTCACTGAAGGGGCAGGAACAAAATCCAGGTGAGAAAAGACAGTGACTGGGCCAGGGTGGAGACATTGGAAATAGACAGATGTGGTCTAATTCACAAGATATTTAGGAGGTAACAGCAACATGATCTGGAGGTAGATCGATATTCATTCAATCATTTGGTAACTATTTAGTGAGCACCTGCTATGTGCTGGACATCATTTTGGGTGCTGGATACAAGAAGGGAAGGGACAGAGTTGGTCAAGGATGGTGCTCAAATTAATGGCTTTTGCAGTGGGAAGATGGTGATGCCAGTCCCTTAGGGACTCCTGAAAGAGGGCTGATTCGGAGGAGAAAATCACCTTGTATTGGAGGTGGGACATCCAAGTGGAAATGGGACACCCATGTGGCAATGTCGGGTTAGGCAGAGGGACACACAGATCCAGAACTCAGCTGAGAGGTCCAGGCTAGACACTGAAATCTGAGAGTCCCCTGCTTTTCAGTGGTGGCTAAAACCATTACGCGGTCCAGGAGGGAAGAATTAGTTTGAAAAAGGGGGCGGGGGGGAGGAAAGACCAGCCAGGGAAGCAGAAGGAAGACCAAGACAGTCACAGTCTTGCGGGGCTTGGTGGCTCACACCTGTAATCCTAGCACGCTGGGAGGCCGAGGTGGGCGGATTGCTCAAGGTCAGGAGTTCGAAACCAGCCTGAGCAAGACCCCATCTCTACTAAAAATAGAAATTAATTGACCAACTAAAATATATATATACAAAAAATTAGCCGGGCATGGTGGCGCATGCCTGTAGTCCCAGCTACTTGGGAGGCTGAGGCAGGAGGATTGCTTCAGCCCAGGAGATTGAGGTTGCTGTGATAAATTAATTGGCTAACTAAAAATAGAAAAAAACATTTTAAAAATTAAAAAAATAAATAAAAATTTAAAAATTAAAAAAAAAAGAGGTTGCTGTGAGCTAGGCTGATGCCATGGCACTTACTCTAGCCTGGGCAACAAAGTGAGACTCTGTCTCAAAAACAAAACAAAACAAAACAAAAAAGACAATCACAGTCTTACATCACAGAAGCTAAGAGAAGTAAGCATTTCAAGAAGAAGGAAGTGGTCAACTATGTCAAATGCTGCCCAATTGCCCAAGGTCTTCCGGGTAGATAAAGATCGAAAAGTAAAACACAAAATAACAATATTTTCCAAATAACAAGTTTTATAATCTTGGTGTCAAATGTCCTTCTTAAGGCAAGACAGGAAACACTGAAACCATAAAAGAAAAAAAAAAGTAGATTTTCTTAAATGAATTGGAGGAAAAGGCTTGCAGTACATTTGACAGACATGGGATTACTATCTCTCATATACCACAACCCAACAGGAAAATGGTTAAAAGAGATGGACAAACAGAAGAAGATGGATGTTCACAGCCATAAATATGCAGAGACCATCACTCCTCTAATTAATGTTCAAACGTATGCAAATAAAATAATGATGAGATCCTGTTCCTTGGATTAGCAAAGCATTTTAAAACTGATCACATTGCTGGGAAAAATAAACACTAAAACCTTTTGGGAATGGTATTTGGCAATACCTATTAAAATTTCAAATGTAGCTCTAGTTCTTGATGGATACACGGGTGTATTCACTTTGTGAAAATTAACAGAGCTCTCCACTCTATTAACTCTATAAAAATAAGTTTGCATACTGTTTATATGTATGTTATTCTTTAATGCTTCTTTAAAAAAAAAAAAAACCTGGGACACACAAAATATAAATATCCAGCAACTCAACAATCCCATTTATGAGATACTTTTCTTCATTTTGCAAATGACAACAAAAACGCAAACAACCCAATTTTAAAAAATAGGCAATGGATATGAACAGGCAATTGACAGAAGAGGAAATCGAAACAGGCAGCAAACAGAAAAATAATCTTCTCTGTGGTCATAAAAATGCCAATTAAAGTTACAAGGAGATATCACTTTATAGTATGCCTCCAGGCCTCAGTTTCCTCGACTGTAAAAGGTGTTAATAATAACTTGTACCTCACAAGCTTGTTGTGAGCATGTAATGACTTCTGAAAAGTGCTCAGAGAAGCCTGGTGCACAGTTCCATGACATGGGCATGAACAAGCTCATATGCACATCTATGTGAGGGTGGAGAACATGGTGGAAGAGAACGTACCACACCTCTCTCACTGGTGACCTCAGGTGGACAGAGCTGAAGGGGTGGCACACAGGTGGCAAACATTTTGAATTAATATTAATTCAACTTTGTTACAGCTAGCATGTGTTACTTTTGTAATTTTTAAAAGAGCCACTAAAGCAGAAGGAAAGGAGGAAGAGCAAACCAGGCATCTGCCCTGAACTCACCACCTGCTCTAGGAAGGATGGGAAAGGGGGCCTGGTGGCAGAGAGGCCCCAAGAAAGCCTTCTGGCCCGACAAATGATCCCAACCCACTCATCAGCCCTGGGCAAATGGTTGATTCTCTCCGGAATTCAGATTCCCTCCTCCCCGGAATGGAGCTGCTAGCAGCACCCCTGGGAAGCATGTTCCTTACTATTAATTCCAAGGACAGACTTGAGCTCCAGTCTTGGTGGCGCTTATGTGGCACAATGTGCTAAACATCTTTGAAGGGCCCTACACTTGTCAACTATTTAATCACTCATCAACCCTATGAGTTTGGAATTTATTAATATTATCATCCCCATGCGGCAGGCGGGGGAAACTGAGGCGCAGGAAGGTGAAAGCACTTTCTGGGGCTTGCACACTAGAAGGTGGCCAGGATTCCAATGCAGGCAGCCTGGCTTTGAATCCAGGCGTGGGACCACCAGGCTCTACCGTCTCCTATGTGACTTTCCCTCTCCCAACCTCAGTTTACTCAACTGTGAAATGGGCTTCCTGATCCTCACCTCTCCAGTTTGGGGCAAGGGGTAAATGTCCTCAGGCCTGGACCTGGGAGAAGGAAGTGTTTTTAAAATGGGCCGCTTTGTGAGCTCAATCTCTGCAGGAAGGAGATGTGTCAACACCCCGGGCCTCTCACTCTGGGGTAAGTTCCCGCTGAGCTGTTCAATGCCCCACGGAGGGGACAAAGCAGGGCAAGAATGCAAGCCTGGGTCTTCCAGGAACCAGAGGGCGAAGTGCCCAGGGTCCTGTGCGTCCCTCCGGCCCATCCTCCTCCCCGCCGGACCCAAACCCCCAAACCACACCGCATCCTGTTCTGGCTCTGCCAGATTAGGAAACCGAGCTCGGGGTCCCGCGTGACCGGGCCGGAAGCCCCGCCAGGGTGTGAAGCAAGCCGTTCCCGCCGCTCCGCCCCACAGATAAAGGCGGCCGGGCCCGGCGCGCTCCTAGCGGTCCCCGCGCCCTGCCCGCCATGTCCCGCCGCCGCGCGCTGCCCGCCGGGGCCCTGCTCGCCCTCCTCGCCCTCGGGGGCGCGGCTCAGACGACAGACGACACGGCCTGCTGCGGCCCCATCGTGCCCCGGAGCGAGTGGGGGGGCCAGGAGTCCAACTGCAACCAGAACCTGAGCCTGCCAGTGTCCTTCGCGGTGGTGTCGCACACGGCGGGCAGCACCTGTGAGTCCCCGGCCTCGTGCCAGCAGCAGGTGCGGAACGTGCACCACTACCACACGCAGACGCTGCAGTGGTGCGACGTGGGCTACAAGTGAGTACGGGGGCGGCGGGCCCGGCTCTGCGCCCCAGCCGCAGCCGCTGGCGGACGGCCCGCGCAGCTTGCTCAGCCCCGCAGGGTCCCCACCCCCGGGGTCACCATGTAGGGCGGAGCTGGCGCAGGCAGCACAAAGATGCTATAAAGGACGGGAAAGGGCTGAAGTCCGAACCCTGGTCCCTAGAGGAAGGGCAGGCTTCGCCCCACGCCCCCGAAAGCGTCTGCTACACATTACGAAGGGACCCCATAAAGGATGGCACTGTTGCTAGGAGCCAGAACGCCAGGCCGGGCCAGGTTCCAGCGTCAGCTCAGCTGACTGCTGGCTGAGACCTGCGGCAGGTCCCCTCACCTTCATCTTCCTCTGCAAAGTGCAGGGGATTGCGACCACCCTGGTCGTTCAACGAGCCAATGCGTGCAAAGCACTTAGGGTACCACCTGGCAGGTAACAGAAGCCCCCAAGGCCTGGGCTGTTGGCATTAGGCACCTTCTGTGTGCCAGGGATGGTGGCCGGGAGGCAGCGGTGGGCAGTGCGACTCTAGCCCTACGGGGCTGAAGGACCACAGGGAGAAAGAGGCGAGAAGCAAGCCAAGTCAACAAGATGAGCTCAGATGGGGCCAGAAGCCATAAGTAAAAGGAACGGGGTGATTGATGGAAGGTGACCTCAGAAATGCCCACGCGGACCTTTAAAGGGTGGGGGAAGGGAAGGCCTCCCTGAGACAGTGGCTTTGAGCTGGCACCGGACAGGGCAGCGGAGAGAGGAGCGCAGGAAGCTGGGGCCCGGCAGAGGCCATGATGCTGAGCGGGCAGGTCAGCCTGCAGCGCGGGCTGCCGGACACAGCTGGGCAGTGCCACGCACAAGGACTTTGGCTTTCCTGAGCCGGCAGCCGCAGGAGGGCTGCGGCTTCGGCACGAGGCTCCCCCTGGCGGCCGCGGGGAGTGAGGGCAGAACCGGGGCCGGGGGTGGGGTTGGCTCAGCTTCCAGGGCCCCGCCCACCAGCTCCCCCTTCAGTGCCACAGGCTGGGGCCAGCGCGGGGCAGCGGGGAGTCCCGCGGCGAGAGGGGACAGCGAACCCAGCCCTCGCAGCGGCCCAGAATCGCCCGGTGCACTTACTGCACACGCAGGTGCCCAGCTCCCACCCACAGGCCGCCTCAGTAGACCCCACTCAGAGAGGTCTAGAAGGTTCCGTGGGTATCCCCAGCTCTTCCAGCTCAAGATGTTATCATTCAAAGGCTCCGACTTCAAGGTTTTGCTTCCAAGAGTCAGGTGCCCCAACGCTGGGCGTGCCCAGCAAGCGATGGAGACTCGAGCCCGGCTCCGCAGCCTCCGGACTCAACCACCTACAGAGGAGCAGACTGCAGTCTAAGCTTTTAGGATGCAGAGTTTGATTCTAACCTTCTGAGTCCCCTTGTCGTGTCACCTGCTCTCTGAGCCTGTTGAATGGGGGGCTCTTTCTTGACTGTATGGTGGTTCCAGTTTAACTTAGATGTGTCCATGTGACAAATACGAGGGACCACCGACTCCCTGTGCCAGGGGCTGGGAAGGTGGCAGGACCATACGCCACCCAATCCTGGCAGCTGGCGTCACTGTGGTGTTCTAGTCTCCTCCGAGCCAGATTCTGAGAGCTGGCTTCCTAAGCAGCAAATTCGAGACTCAGAGGGTCCAACATTCTGTGCACCTGGAGCTGAGTCGGCAGATGCAGCCACTCCAAGATGCTGATCTTCCGGTTAACGACAACATGCCAAGTCACACTCGCCCAATCAAGACACGCTGAATGCGTCTCAGGGACTCACTGGCAAGATTAGAAACCTCAAACAGGCAGATGCTGGGGTCACCTGCTTGTGACCCCAATCTTGAGTCCCCGATGCTGTGGCCCCGGTGGACCCTGATGGCGGGAAGCAGGTGGGGGTGAGGGCAGGGTTCTGAGACGCAGGGGTCTTTGAGGACCTCGTATAAATGATGTCGCTTTGTGATCTCTACTCCCTAAGCTTAAAATGGGGATGAGAACAGTACCGACCTCAGAGGGCTGTCTCTTTAAGGATTTGGCAAAGCAAGAGTTCAACAAATCCTCCGGGGAGGCAGGAAAGAGCAAGGAACAAGATGACATGGGTGGGAGTCACAGAGACCTGGCTGGAAGACCCAGCTCATCCCTGTGACAGTCTATGTGACCTTGGAGAGGTGACTCCACCACTCTGACTCTCTATAAAATGGGAGGGGTACTGACTCCTGGGGTTGGCGTGATGATGAAAATGGCACATTCAGACCTGTGCTTGGCACGTGGCAGGGGCTCCATGAAGGGTCAAGGTCATTGCTATTATTGTGGAAAATGAGGGGAAGAGGTTGAGGGAATTATGTGTGCATGGCAGGAATGGGGGTGGGGCGAGTGGAAGAGGGGGCAGGGGTCCTCCCGGAGGAAGCCCTCCCTCGCTCACCCAGCCCCCCTCCCCGAGCAGCTTCCTGATTGGAGAAGACGGGCTCGTGTACGAGGGCCGGGGCTGGCACACCAAGGGCGCCCACTCGGGTCCCAGCTGGAACCCCATATCCATTGGCATCACCTTCATGGGCAACTACATGGGTGAGTGACTGGTCAGCCGGCAGAGATGGGGGCTGACAAGGGGCATGGAGACGGCGTGGCACGGTGGCCGGTGGTCGAGAGGCTCTGCCATCTCCCCATCTCCAAGTCCCGCGGGCCTCCGTTCTTCCATTTGCAACCACACGGTAAGGGCGGGGATTGGTTGATGTAAAAATCCTCACACCAACCCATGGCACTCCAACAAGTGCTTGGACCCAGAAGACCCAGAGGTCTGGGGACAGAGGAGGGCGAATAAGCAATAATCACCATGACAACCAATACTCTGTGCCAGGCACCGTTCTGTGGGTTTTATACAAAATAATTCACTTGACCCTCCCAAAGGGTCAAATGTGGGAGGGTAGGGGCCACTATGCTCCCTTTTCATGGATGAGAAAACTGAGGCACAAACAGGTTAAGTCCAGCTCCGAGCGCACAGTTGTACCCACACTCCCCGCACTACCTCTGCCCTTCTAGTGACCCCAGCCTCACCCCTGTCTCTGCCTCCCCCAGAGCGGGAGCCCCCGGCCCGGGCCCTGCGGGCAGCCCAGAATCTGCTGGCCTGCGGTGTGGCTCGGGGAGTCCTGAGACCCATATATCAGCTCAAAGGACACCGGGATGCGCAGAGGACGCTCTCTCCGGGAGACCAGCTCTACAGAATCATCCAGAAGTGGCCGCACTACCACGACTGAGGACCTGCTCCTCAGCCCCCCACCCCCACCCCGTTCCTCTCCGCCCATGGCCAGAAGCCCACTGCCGCCTCCTCCAATAAAGGTGCAGCCCAAGCTGTGTTCCTAGGCAGCCTCCCCTGTCTCCCTGCCCCCCAAACCGCAGCCCTCCCGTCTCCTCCCCACGCTCTCCTCGCCGGTGCTCAGAACCCAGAGGCCCCGACCCTGAACCAAGACCCCGGAGATCCCAGCTCGAAAGCAACATCACAGCTCAGAACCCAGAGGTCTCAGGTCAGAGCCCAGGAATCAGCACCGCGTCGCCTGGCTGTCCCCAACAGCAGCCGGGGGTCCTCCCAGGCAGGGAACCGTGCTGCAAGACACCCTTTCCCACCACACAGCCAAAGGCATCCTGACCAGAATCTCTGCTTGGTTTCCTCTGGTGACAGGCTGCTCACTACCACCCCTCAGGTCTCCCCTCCTTGCAGTGCTTTAGAGGGTGCGGGAGTTTTTCCCAATATGCCTCCTAGTCACAGACATGCCCAGAAGAGCACTCAGGTTCCAATTACACCCCCCAGTCTTCCCTTCTCCCCATCCCACCTTCACCCTTTGGTCATAAGCTGAGGGGTCCCAAAGGCATAAATGTTTATTTACAAAATGCACATATCCTCCCCCCCAGCATGCCTTGCCTGGGGAGAGGACGGGGTCAGGGCCTCACACACCTGAGACCCCAGGAGCACCAGGAGGGGTGGAGCCTGGGCAGGGCTGGAAGGCCACCCTGGCCCACCCCCCATGCCAAACCCAGCAGAGGGTGGGGGTGGAGGGGCAGTACCCCCTTCTCCACGGTCACGACCTCGTGTCCAGTCGGTTCATGTATTCCTGCAAGGCCTTCAGGCGGGCATCTATTTCGGCTATGTCGGCCGCCTGGTGGTCCGAGCTGTACTCTGCGAGGGCAGGCATGGGTGTGGGAGGCTGGGAGGGGACTGAAGCCACAGGGAGCTCCTGGGCCCAAGACCAGTGTCCTCATTAACACCCCAGTGGGTTCTATGGCTAGTGGTGGGGGGGAATGTGGGAGTCCCAGGCTCACCTTTGATGGGGACCCAGCCACCTGAGTTGGCCAGGTGTCTCTGATGGTGGCTGCGTTCCAGGGGGGTGGACTTCTGGTGACGGGGAAGGCAGGAAAGGGGGTCAGGCACCCTCCCCTCTATTCCTACCCCCCAAATCCCACAGCAAATTCTGAACCTAAGGACTTCTGGAAAAATAAGGCCTGACACCTACTGAACACTCACTACATGCAAAATAACCTCCTGGTGTCCTCAAGAGAACTCTCTGAAGTGACACTACCACCATCCCTGTTTAACCGACAAAGCAACTGAGTTACAGGGAGGCCAATGAACTACCTGAGCCACGCAGGCGGTAGAAGGCAGGTTTTAACACCTGACAATCTGAGGCAAGAGCCTTAAACAGCGTCGCGTGGCCTCGTTGCTCCCACCTCCAATCCACGGGTCTGAAAACACCTTGTTTCCAGAGACAGATCAGAGTGGCCCCTGCGACATGACCCCCAGGATGGAATCATGGGAAATGGGCACACCTGGCTTCCAGTGGCTTAAATGCTACCCTTCCTCCTCCAAGGTCTGAGAAAGACACTCACCCTGTTGGACCCACTCCAGGGTGTGGGGCTGGGCGGCTTCCCACGGCGAGGAACGCTGGGACGAGGGAGAACCAAGGAGCTATGGTGGGGCGCCTTTGGTTCCTCGCACCTTGCCCCCTTTGTGGGTTCAAGGTCCCCAGCCTCCATCACCCAATTCCCCCGCAAAAGGCTGTTTCCAGTCTCCCCAGACACCCTTCGAGGTAGTCCTTTCTCCCAGTCCAAGTTTTACCCTCTGGAGATGGACTCCGAGAAGTCCTCGAACTCGCTACAGGAGCTGGCGGAGGAGCAGCGGCTGCGGAAACTGTCCACTGGCGGCGGCGGCGGAGGAGGAGGAGGAGGAGGAGGAGGAGGAGGAGGGTGAGAGCCGCCCGCACCCTCCAGCCCGCTCGCCCGCCCTGGCCCCAGCGCAACCAGTTACCGGAGGAGCTGCGGTTGCGGTTCCGGGAGCGATTGGCTGCGTCCCCTCGGCCAGTCACGGCAGCCGGGGGCCGGGGCTGACGAGACCATGAGACGGAGGGACCGTCCCCGCTTCCTCCACTGCCCAAGCGGTTCCGCTGCTGCTGCCGTTGCCTGGGAAGCGGGAGAGGACACAGCCGCCTGTGCGCCACACGGTCGTGGCGAAGGGCGCCCTGCGCTCTACCGGTCAAGGCCAGAGCCAGTAATCCCATCTCCCGGCCAGGGGAGAAAGCGTGCGGTGACATGGACCAAGTGAGAGTGGGAAGAGACAAGAAAACAGGGCCGATCCGGGCTGAGGAGAGCAGGCGGTGGGAAGGGGAGACGAGCAGGTGACAGGTGATGGAAGGTAGGAAGAAATGAGTGACCCGCTCAGATGGCGAGAAAGCGGGCACAGGTGAGGGAGCTGGGTGCCGGGGCAGGGATGAAGGCAGGTGACAGGGGAATGGGCACTAACTTCATCCTGATCTCCCTCTGCTTCTTTTCCTTGGCTTTCACAAAGGCTGTGGGGTCGAAACGGAGCGCGCGACCACCTAGGACAGGGTGGGGAAGTGTGGAAAGAGGAGGAGACTGTGGTCACAGGATCCACCTCCCCTCAGGGCAGGGCAGGCGGGTACAGACCTGTGGGTGAGGGCGAGGGGTGGGCAGGGCGGCCCCGGCCCCGGCTTCCGCGGCCGCTCTCCCGGGACGAGGAGCGAGCGGCGACACGGCCACGAGAGGTGGAGCGCTCGCGGGACGACGAAGCCCGGTCCTCCCGGGCCAGCGCCACCGGCGGAGTCCGTCTCCTGGTACATGGGGCCAGCTGTCAGTTTCCTGCCAGGCTGAACCACCTCAATCACAGCCTCCTCGCTAACCCACCGCACCTTCTTCTCTCAACGCCCATCCCCTATCAATTCCTAGACATTCACGCTCATCCCGACCCTCCAAATACTCTCCCCCAGACTCCGCCCCACCCCAAGTCCATAGACCCCACCCACCAAAAAAAAAAAAAACTATCATTTTCCTACATCCTTTCAACACACTCCCTTCACCAGACCCTTCCTCCCGAGGTCTCACTCAGCTCCCTGGAAACCTTTCCCAACTTTCTACCGCCCACCCCAATAAATCCCAACAGACGACACCCTGATCCCCATCTGCTGGGCCGCACCCTTTCTGCTCAAGAACCTCAGGCCCCGCCCCCTTGCCAGTCCCTCTCTCCAGGCCCCGCCTCCTGGATGCTGCACCAGAACCTACTCATCACTCCGCAGGTCCACTGTTGCTAACTCCGGTACTACAGTATTCCCCGTCTCTCCCTATGCGCCACGCAGCCCAGTAGGCACCGCCCAGTCTCAGGCTGCGCCCGCCCCCTCCAGCCGACTCGGCCCCGCCCAAGCCCCAGCTCTGCACCCCTCTCCAACCCAACGGCCCGCCAGCCGCCCCCAGCCCACCTACGGCCCCCTTCCCAGAACCTCTCTCCAAGCCCCGCCTCTTGAATGCTGCGCCAGCACCTACCCATCTCCCCGCGGTCGACTCTTTCTAACTCAGGTACCGCACAGTACTCCCGGTCTCTCCCTACGCTCCACGCAGCCCAGTAGGCCCCGCCCGGTCTCAGGCGCACCGCTCCCTCCAGCCGACTCGGCCCCCCCAGCCGCCTCAGCCTCACCCCTCCACCCGCCCCGCAGGCCCGCCCGGTCTCAGGCGCACCCACTCCTCCAGCCACTCGGCCCCGCCCAGCCGCCCAGGCCTCCACCTTCCCACGCCCGCCCAGCCGCCAGGCTCACCTCTCCCCACGCCCCGCCCCCGCAGGCCCCGCCCGGTCTCAGGCGCACCGCTCCCTCCAGCCGACTCGGGCCCCGCCCAGCCGCCCAGGCTCCACCCTCTCCCCCGCCCCGCCCCCGCAGGCCCCGCCCCGCGGAGCCCGCCTCTCACCCGCGTTTGTACAGAGCCAGCTCGGTGTTGAGCGTCTTCAGCCGCGAGCGCAGGCTCCGCTCCGAAGCCTTCACCTCCTCGAGCTGCCGCGGGGGACAGGGGTGCCGAGGTCCGACTGAGCCGACGCCCTCGCCCCACCGCCCGTCCCGCGGCCGCCCAGCCCCCTCACCTCCTTGGCCAGGCGGCGGCAGTCCTGGCCGCGGCAGTCCTGGCCGCGGTGACCCGCAGCCCTGTGCCCGAGGCCGCGTTCCTGCCGCAGCTCCTGCTCCAGGCCGCGCACCAGCCCGCGCAGCGCCTCGGCCTCCTGGCGCGCCGCCCGGCCGGCCAGAGCCTCCTCGCGCGACCGGCCCAGCTGGCACTCCAGCTCGCGCTTCTCAGCCGCCAAGCGCGACACCCTGGGGGGACACGTGGGGGGGAAGCTGGGCCCGCCCTGTCCCCTGCCCCCGCCTCCCCGCCGATCTCCCACTCACCAGAGGACTCTCTCTAAAATGCAGATTTGATCGGGTTACCACCATGCTCAAAACCCTTCCTTGAGCAAATGACATACACACGAGGCTATTCGTTTCAGCACTATTTGTAATAGCAAAAGAGCGGAAACAGCCAATGTCCGTCAACAGAGAGCTAGTTGAATTTCTGATACACTTACTCCATCGAGCACCCACAACTGCAGAAAGGAATGAGGATGATGTCTACATCCTGTCTATATCCGCGTCTATGATGTATGTATCTAGTCACCAAGTGATTGCCATAACGTTAAGACAGTGCAGAACAGTATGTTTAGTATGTCCTGTTTTGTACAAGAGAATTACAAATTGTATGTTTATGTTTTCAAAAATATATAATGAATACAAACTAAAAGAAATAATAAGGGTTACCCATGGGAGAGAGGAGAACAGGAACAGAAATAGAACTCTCTGAATATACCTCTTTTTTAGTTTTTACTCTCAGACTATGAAAATATTTTATATAAATAAGTTAATAAATGTTAACAAAAGCCATCCCAAAATTTTTTTAAGAAACTGGTTCGGCTGGGCCCAGGGGCTCAGGCTTGTAATCCTAGCACTCTGGGAGGCCGAGGCGGGTGGATTGCTCGAGGTCAGGAGTTTGAAACCAGCCTGAGCAAGATTGAGACCCCGTCTCTACTATAAATAGAAAGAAATAAATTGGCCAACTAATATATATAGAAAAAATTAGCCGGGCATGGTGGCGCATGTCTGTAGTCCCAGCCACTTGGGGAGGCTGAGGCAGAAAGATCGCTTGAGCCCAGGAGTTTGAGGTTGCTGTGAGTTAGGCTGACACCATGGTACTCTAGCCTGGGCAACAGAGTGAAGACTCTGTCTTAAAAAAAAAAATAAATGAGCCAATGTGAAGGGGTTCCTACTGGCAGAAGAAAATAAGAGCATCAAAAAAGAATAATTGGCCGGGTGTGGTGGCTCACACCTTTAGTTCCAGCTACTGGGGAGGCTGAGGCAGGAGGATCATTTGAGCCCAGGAGTCTGAGGTTGCTGTGAGCTAAGCTGATGCCACTCTAGCCAGGGCAACATAGCAGGACCCCATCTCTACAAAAAAATAAGAAAAATTAGCCAGGAGTGATGGTGCTGCCTGCCTGTAGTTTCAGCTACTCGGGAGGCTGAGGCAGGAGGATGGCTGGAGCCCGGGAGTTGGAGGCTGTAGCGAGCTATGACTGTGCCACTACGCTCCAGCCTGGGCAACAGAGAGAGACCTTGTCTCAAAAAAACAAAAGCAGGCGGGGCGCTGTGGCTCACGCCTGTAATCCTAGCTCTTGGGAGGCCGAGGCGGGCGGATTGCTCAAGGTCAGGAGTTCAAAACCAGCCTGAGCAAGAGCGAGACCCCGCCTCTACTATAAATAGAAAGAAATCAATTGGCCAACTGATATATATATATAAAAATTAGCCGGGCATGGTGGCGCATGCCTGTAGTCCCAGCTACCCGGGAGGCTGAGGCAGAAGGATCACTCGAGCCCAGGAGTTTGAGGTTGCTGTGAGCTAGGCTGATGCCACGGCACTCACTCTAGCCTGGGCAACAAAGCGAGACTCTGTCTCAAAAAAAAAAAAAAAAAAAAAACAAAAGCAAAGGTAAGAAAAAGCAGCTGGAGGACAAGTATGTGTATAATATACTCCTGTCTGCTTTTATGTGTGCTTAGAATTTTTCCTAATAAATTTTTCCTAATAAATCATTCTAAGAATCTGTGGCTGCCCTACACTCTCCAAAGAGCTTCACCCCACCTACTTCTTCCGCAGGGCTCCAAGTTCCTTCCTTCCAGAATGTTCTCTCCTTCTCCTCTGGCAGAAATAACCCCACGCACCCAGGGAAGCCTGCCTGCCCCCATGCTCTCTGCTCCCCCAGCTCTGTACATTTCCTTCCTGGCACCAACCCCAGCAAAGCTGTCATCTGTCGGTCCGATTGTCTGTTTTCTGTCTAGCCCCCCCTTCTGGGACGGAGCCTCCACCCGTCCGGGTCACCGTGTAGGAACCTGGCTCTTGTCATCTGCGAAGAGGGATGGTCATAGCCACACCCACCTGTGGGGTTGTGGGACTGTCTAAAGAGCTTAGACCACGTCAGGCATAATAAACATTAACTATGCCGGGCAGTGTGTCTGGCACACAGTATGAACTCAATAAATACTGGCCAAATGAAGGAAGAAATCCTGGAGCCTTCCCAAACGCCCTAATTCCAGGCCGGGAACAGGAGGATAAGAAGCCACTGACCGGCTGTGGGATCGCGTCACCCTCTGCAGTTCTGTGGGCGGAGGGCGCCACCTTGTGGCCAGCCTGGGAAAACGCACACACGCACACACCGCCCCCACTCCTCAATCCCTCCGCTGCCCAGGGCAGATCCTAAGGATGAGGCTTACCCTGCTTCCCACTCTGGCCTCCCCACCATGGCCTTCTACCCCTCGGCCCAGCCCGGCCCAGCCGAGCTCCTCCAGGAAGACCCGCAGGGTTTCTCCAACCCCGGAGCTCCCATTCCGGGAGGGGAGCGGGCAGGTCCTCTCTGTCCTGGGCTCGCAGCCTGGATCTAAGGTCGACGCTGGCCTTACTGCTCACTGTGTGACTTGGGGCAAGCTCCCTAACTTCTCTGGGCCTCAGTTTCCTCCTCTGTAAAAAGGGGTTGAGAGCAGGGCCTCGCTCACACGGTACGATCAAATGAATTCAATCATAAAGCACTGACCGGAGTCCCTGGCACACGGTTAAATGCTCAATAAGCGTTAGCTACTGGTATTATTATTATCATCACTAAAAACATTATCAGTCCTCCCCAATGAGGCGGGCCCTCCAGGTTCCGGCTTCCCCGCAGCACGTGGCAGGAATGAATGAATGTGCCACAAGCCTTCGCTTTCTCCAGTTCTCTCTTCACTCTTTCAGTCCACTTGTTCTCACCACATTCCCACTGAACACAAGGACTTTGCACGTGCTGTTCCCTCTGCCCACAACACTGTTCCCTCATGCAGTCCCCAGGCCCTCTGCCTGACCCACCCCAATCCTCCACCAAGGTCCTGTCACAGCCTCCCACAGCACAGGTCCCTTGCCTGCCTAACCCCACTGTATCTGCAATGGCATCTCAGGGGGTTATGTGACTAACGCCCACCTGCCCTGGGCTGGGCATCCCATGAGGGACAGCGCACGGGGTGGTGGCCAGCATGTGGCCCCGGGGAAGGCGGATTCAACTGAATATAGCTCAGCCTCCCACCCTGTCTCTGACCTGCTATTCCCTGTGCTGAGAACACTCGTCCCTTACCAAACAGGGCCAGGTCCCCCCTCTGGGATCCCCAAACCCACCTGCTCTGAGTCCCCACTCTCTGCAGACAGAGCCATCCCCCTCGTGGGACTGGGAGCCCCCACAGGGCCAGCCAGGATAACCGTGGTCGCCAGCACCACCCAGTACAAGGCAGGCACAGAGGAGGGGCTCAGAATAAATGCATGGCAGATGAGACACAGCTGTCCTCCCAACAGTGCCATGCATGGGACCCTCGAAGTGCATGATGGGACATGCCCCCCTCAGTGCCCCCAGCCCTCCAAGACTCACTGCTCCCGCAGGTGCCAGATCTCAGTCTCCCGGGTGTCCTGAGTGGCCTGGCCATCCGGCCCTCGCAGGCGGCCCAGCTCTTCCTTCAGCGAGCGGATGATGCCCTGCAGGACCACGGGGTCGGGCTTGCCATGGTACGGGAGGGGCAGCGGGTAGTGAATCCTGGGGAGGGGGGATTAGAACCAGGGCAGTTCAGAGGCCAAGAATCCACCCGAGGGCAACTAAGGACTCTGAGAGCCACAGAGTACGAAACTAGACAATTCCAAAACTAGACAATTCCAAAACCTCACCTTCTAAGGTTTACGATACAAGCCTCTCCCTGCCCCCAGGCCACCTGTACCAGTCACTACCCCTAAGAGCCTCTTATATAGCAATTTGGGGACCACTGGGATGGACAGCCCTGGTGCAGTCTGAATTCGCTTCCTTGTCACACCGCTGGCAATGGGACACTAGTATCATCTTACTTGCAGCTAAACACAATCCTAATTCAGATTCCACAGTGGGAGATTTGGGTGGCCTGACCTGGGTCACCCCTTGGATCGGTAACTTCCCACTAGAAAATCCAGAAGCTATCAACACATGGAGCAGACGCTGTCGTCTCGCTGCCCAACAGCCATTCCCAACTCCTTGCTGCCCCCCACTATAAAGGCTGGAAGGCTAGATATTCATTTTCCCAGCATCCCTTGCATGGGATGGCTTCTGGTTGTATATTATGGGAAATCTGTTGGAGAGTCTTCTGGGAACACTTTTGTTTTCCTGATAAAAACAGCAGAGGCAATTAGCAAACACAGCCCTGTCCCTTTCCTTCCTGCCTTGATACAGATGCAATGCTCGGAGGCCCAGCAGCTATTTTGTGACCATGAAGAGATAAAGATGAAGTCAAGAAGCCAACACATTAAAGATGACAAAGAAAAAAAAAAATAAAACAAAAACAGAAAGAGTCTGAGTCCCTAATGGAACTGCTGAGTAGCAGCCACCTACCTAGACATCTTGTGTGATAAACTATTATTTCCCTAAGGCACCGGTAATGGTTGTTCTGCCACTCATAGCCAAGCACAACACCAAATGATACAAACCCCAACACCCCCACCTTGCCCTGGGGCCAGGGATTCCTGAGGTCTAGCCACATCCTCTCCCGCCCTGCCCACCAGCCAGGGCCCTGAGCCAGCCCCTTTTCCCCACCTGTCAAATTCCACGGAGTAGATGAGGATCAGGTAGCGCTTGGAGTTGAGCTGAGCCGACCTGGGGCCCAAGGAGCCCGGGCGGGCCCCCATCTTGCGGTTTCGCAGGGACTCCAGGTCTGTGTAGGTCAGCAGGTCTAGGGTGACCGACTCACTGCTCTGTTGGAGAGGAGGGGAGGAGGTGCCAACACGGCCATGCCCCTTCCCGTTGTCTGGGCTGGCTGGGCTCTCCTCCACTAAGGCTGCCGATCAAGGCGGCCCTGTCCCAGGGGCTGGCACAGGGAGTTCACCAGAGGGAGACACTGGAAAGGACCTAAATGCTCAACCATGGGCAACAGCTGAGACCTGTCAATCTCCAAGGGTTGTCTACAGATCCATGGGGGAATCCCAGATATCTTTCCAGGAAGTCCGTGAGGTCAAAACTATTTTCATAATAATACAGACACATCGTGTGTCTTTGCACTAATGCTGCAAAAGAAATGGTGGGAGAAACTGCTGGCACCAAGTGGTACCAGTTGTCACTGCCATGCAGTCTCAGTGGGAGGTTCGGGAGGAGGCAGAAATAAACAAACAAGTAAATAAATAAAACACAGGAAATGAAACTTAGGAATGTTCTTGATAAAGCAGTAAAAATTATTAATTTGATTGAGTCTTGACCCGTGAGTACACACCTCTTTGCATTCTGTGCAACAAGATGGGAAGCGCACACAAAGTACATCTGCTGCATGACGGGGGTCTCAGGAAAAGCTCTTGTGCAACTGAGCTTTGAACTAAATTGGCCACTTTTTCATGGAATGCTATTTTTACTTGAAAGAACGACTGACAGACAAAACTCGGGTTATTCAGACTTGGATATTTGGCAGGCACGTTCTCAAAAATAAACAAAGTGAGCCTGTCACTTCAAGAAAAACAGCTACCAGGATGTGTTGCCAATGATAAAATTCAAGCTCTGCACTTAAATTAGAATGCGACTTTTGGAAAACTTGTATCTTCTACTATGCGTCTGACAGCTTCTAAAAGTTCAAAGACTTTCCGGTTGAGATCAGAGAGGATATTAACAAACGTGACTTCCTGGTATTATATAAGGAAATGTGCCAACATTTGCAAGATCTGTACAGCTGAGAGAACCAGTATTTTCCAAGTGATCAATGCACGATGTTAGAAAATCATGCACAGGTTTAAAAGATCCATGCAAGGCCAGGATATGTCAATGGAATTTAAGCGGCAATATGAAAAGTTCGTTAATGAAGCTTCAGATTCTAGACTCCAACTAACCTTTAACGAACTACCCCTTGTCCAGTCTTAGTGTGTTAGCAAAAAAGGATATCCATAATTATCTGAGAAAGCTATTCTGGTACTCCCCTTTTCATCCATATCTGTGTGAGGCAAGATTTTTCTGCATATACTTCTACCGAAACATATCATATAGGGTCGATATAGAAGTACATATGAGAATCTATCAATTTTCCATTAAGATAGACATTCAAGAGATTTGCAAAGATGTAAACCAATGCTACACTTCTTACTAATTCTTTGTTTTAGAAAATACATTTTTCATAAAAATGTTATTTAGGCTAACGAATAACAGGTTTATTCTTTTTTTTTTTTTTTGGAGACAGAGTCTCACTCTGTTGCCTGAACCAGAGTGCCATGGCGTCAGCCTACCTCACAGCGACCTCAAACTCCTGGGCTCAAGCAATCCTCCTGCCTCAGCCTCCTGAGTAGCTGGGACTACAGGCACGTGCTACCATGGCCAGATAATTTTTTCTGTATATTTTTAGTTGGCCAATCAATTCCTTTCTATTTTTAGTAGAGATGGGGTCTTGCTCTTGCTCAGGCTGGTCTCAAACTCCTGACCTTGAGCGATCCTCCCGCCTCGGCCTCCCAGAGTGCTAGGATTACAGCTGTGAGCCACCGCGCCCGGCCAACAGGTTTATTCTTGCTATTTTAAGTGAATTCATATTTTGAAATTTTTCTCTGTTCTTTGAATATAACCTGCATAAACAAAAGCTCTTTGGTGTCTTCAATAATTTTGAAAAGTATAAAGGGGTCAGGAGACAAATAATTTGAGTACCACGGGGATAGATAAATCACAATATACAGGTACAATGGAATACTGAGCAACCACTAACAATAAACTCAGTAGCTGATATAAAAGTAGATAATGCCTATATAGCACTTATTGTGAGCCAGACTCTATTCTAAGCTTTTTTACATATTTTATTTTATTTTTGTTGAGACAGTCTCATTCTGCCACCCCGGCTGGGGGTGCAGTGCTGCGATCATAGCTCGCTGCAGCCTCGAAGTCCTGGGCTCAAGGGATCTTCCCGCCTCAGCCTCCTGAGCTTCTTTAAATATACTAACTCATTTAATCTTTGCAATAGTATGAAAGGAGAACTATTATTATTCCCACTTTACAGACAGGGAAACTAAGGCACCGAGGGGAAATAACTGGTCCAGGGCACCCAGCCAATAAGTGGCAATGATGAGTCTGAACTCAGAATCCATGCTTAACTACTACCCTATACTGCCTATAGATATTAAAATGTTAATAGTCCACGTATGGAGCCAGCTGCGGTGGCTCATTCCTATAATCCCACCAACTGGAGGGGCTGAGGCGGGAGAATTGCTTGAGGCCAGGAGTTCAAGACCTACCCAGGCGAACAAGGCAAGGCAAAATCCCATCTCTAAAAATAAAAAATTAGCCAGGCATGATTTTTTTTTTTTTTTTTTTTTGAGAGCCAGGTCTTGCTCTTGCTCAGGCTGGTCTCAAACTCCTGAACTCAAGCAATCCTCCCACTTTGGCCTCCCAAAACGCTAGGAATTACAGACGTGAGTCGCCTCACCCAGCCAATTAGCCAGGCACAATAATGGCACACACCTATAGTCCCAAGACTCCAGAGGCTGAGGCAGGAGGATCGCCTGAGTCAGGAGTCTGAGGTTGCTGTGAGCTATGATGACACGACTGCACCCCACCCTAGGCAACAAAGTGAGTCCCAGCTCTAAAAAACAATTTCATGAGTGCGTATTTTATGTGTAGTCAGAGAAACAATCTAGTTCACAGTTTTATTTTTATTTTTTTTTTGAGACAGAGTCTCACTCTGTTGCCCAGGCTAGAGTGAGTGCCATGGCGTCAGCCTAGCTCACTGCAACCTCAAACTCCTGGGTTCAAGCAATCCTCCTGCCTCAGCCTCCCGCATAGCTGGGACTACAGGCATGCACCACCATGCCCGGCTAATTTTTTCTATATATATTTTTAGTTGGCCAATTAATTTCTTTCTATTTATAGTAGAGACAGGGTCTCGCTCTTGCTCAGGCTGGTTTCAAACTCCTGACCTTGAGCAATCCGCCCACCTCGGCCTCCCAAAGAGCTAGGATTACAGGCGTGAAGCCACCGCGCCCGGCCTAGTTCACAGTTTTAAAATGATATCTAAATACCACCCCTGTTACTCTAAGTTCTAACCTGCTTTTTTTTTTCCCTATTAGTACATTTAACTACTTTACATTATGTATTTTTTCATTTTGCTGGTCTCTCCCACTGGAATGTCAGCCCATAAAGACAGAGATTCTATCTGTGTTCACTGCCCTGTCCCCAATGTCCCCAACAGTGCCTGGCATCCTGTGGATGCTCCCTAAATAAATGATGTTAGAAAATCTGGGAATGGCTATATTCACTGATGTGACTACATTTTTATGAAATATTGTTGAATCTTTTAAAGACATGTTGCAAAATATATCAACTATATACAATCATAGGTCTCAAAATACATACACACACACACATTCAGAAATGAATAGAGAAATGGAGAAATGGCTAGAGTGATTGTCACCAAAATATTAATGGGAATGAATATTAGGGGTGGAGTGATTTTTACTTTCCTCTTTACATTTCTATGTGACCTGAATTTTCTACCTGAGAATAACTATCATTAGAAGCAGAATAAACCATTTAGGACGCTTGGGAAAGAAGAAAAAAAATAGCCCTGTTCTTGCAATGATAGAGAAGACAGGCAGTCTTGCATATATCAGATGGGGATCTACCCCCCAGGGAATCCAGACAGAGCCCACCCCAAAACCCTGTCCCCTACCTGCGTGAGGGCTGACTCCAGCATGTTACAGAAGATGTTGAACTGTTTGAAGTTCCCTGTCTTGTGAGTCAAATCTTCGATGACTGGGTGGGGAGAAAAGTCCCTCCTGAAGTCTGACCACTTGCCCAGCCCAAGGGCAATGCAGCTACGCTCTCCAACTCTCCCCGACTTGGTGCCTCACCCCTCCCCACATTTGGAGAGCTTCTAGTCACACAGAAGAGGCAGGTGGACAGGACTCTGGTGGCCTCATCTTCCAGGAGAAGCTGATCCCAGGGGAGGAGTGGCGAGCCCACCCCAGGCAGGCACACTCACAGCTGGCATCGAACTCGCCCCGCCACTGGTCAGCCGTCATCCGGTCCTCCACCTCCAGCTCCAGCACCTGCCCAGAAACCACTACCCGCACGGCATGCTCCACACCCCGGAAGACGTAGTCCACCTGCAGGCCAGCCGGCTGGTCCATGGCCAAGGTTGCTAGAGAGAGGGATGACACAGAGACCCAGAGGGGCTGAAAACCCAGGCTCGTGAGCTGGTAGCACAAGATTCATATCTTGGCTCCATTATTTACCAGCTATGGCACTTTGGGAAAGCAACTTCACCTCTCTGTGCCTCAGTTTCCTTATCTGGAAAATGGGTATAATGATGGCACCTACCTCATAGAGTTGTGAGGATTAACCTGGGCAACATACATAAAAGCATTAAAACTGTGTCCTGCACATTGCTCTGCCCAACACACGCTGCCTAGTAGAAACATATGATGACCAACAAAAGCATGATTAATATGATAAATTCATTAATCCTTATCCTCATTTTATATTTATTATTCATTCATTCATTGAGCAAATATTTGTGGAGAAAAATCAAGCTGGAAAGGGAGACAGAATATTAGAGTAGGGCAGGACAGAGCTTTTATTTATTTGTTTGTTTATTTATTTATTTATTTTAGACAGAGTCTCACTTTGTTGCCCAGGCTAGAGTGAGTGCCATGGCATCAGCCTAGCTCACAGCAACCTCAAACTCCTGGGCTCAAGCAATCCTCCTGCCTCAGCTTCCCGAGTAGCTGGGACTACAGGCATGTGCCACCATGCCCGGCTAATTTTTTGTATATATATTTTTAGTTGGTCAATTAATTTCTTTCTTTTAGTAGAGATGGGGTCTCGCTCAGGGTGGTTTCGAACTCGTGACCTCAAGCAATCTGCCCGCTTCGGCCTCCCAGAGTGCTAGGAAGGACAGCTTTTAAATAGGGGATCACAGCAGGCATCTCTGAGGAGGTGACATTTGAGCAGAGAAGTGAAGGAGGTCAGAGAGCAAGCCACGTGGCCATCAGGGTTAAGTGCTCCAAGCCAAGGGAACAGCCAGTGCTATATATTATCTATGACTTACTTAAATCATTTACACTGAATTAATAATTAATTTTATTAATTAGTCTGTTATAAGCGTAAGTACGTTCTCTTAGCTGACAGAGCTACTACTTAACGTTAGCTCTATGAGGAGCTGGAGAAGATGATGAGGCCTCCGCCCTCAGCCCAGGATTCTGGAGGTGTTTCAGAATGGGGGCTCAGGGCTGTCTGGATTCCGATCTGGGTTTTTCTGTGTGTACATGGGCAAGTTACTTAACCTCTCTGTCAGCCAGATTCCTTATCTATAAAATGTATGCCAGCCTGGGTGCTGAAGATATGATGAGAAACCAGATTATGTCCCTACTTTCAGGAGGGGACAACAGACAGATATAAAAAAAAATGCCAAGTAGTGGGACAAGGGGATGTGCTGGGGGCAGGGAGGAGAGAGGGGCACATGAACGCCCAAGAGAAGAGTGTCCAGGCAGTAGGCAGAGCCAGGCAAAGGTGTGAAGGTGGGTGTTCCTGATTTGTTCTAAGAACAGCAAGGAGATCAGGGTGGCTGGAAGAGAGTGAACGAGGGACAGAGAGCTAAGTGGTGAGATCAGAGATGTAACAAGGGACAGATGATTATCATAAAGGCTTCTGAAAGCCCGTAAGTAGATAACAGCATCCACTTCTTGGGTTGGTATAAATAAGGCTTACGTGAGTTAAGCATGTTAAACTCCTTGGAGAACCTGAGCAATGCCTGACCTGTAGCAAGCACCCAATACATACTGGGATTATCATCATCATTGTTGCTACTATTACTTTGTTGTTGTTTCTGAGCTTGAAAGGAACTACAAAGAAGTCCATGCTCTCCCCAATGGACAGAAGCAGAAACTGAGGCTCAGCAGGAAAGGGAGTCCACAGCTTTTCCAAAGTCAGAGCCACCAATTCAGACCGTGGGGGCCCCCTCCAATGCCTGATTTCTTTCTCCTCCCCACCACCTCCTCCAGTCCTCACACTTCCCCCAGGAAGTCCTTTTAAAGTCTAACACCGGACAATATGTTGTAAGGCAGAAAAAGATAGGTCCTGAAACTACAGGTCAGTGATTTTTTTTTAAAACCTTTTTAGAGTCCTTGAGCCTTTGAGAATCTAATGAAATCCCTTAACCTTCCTCAGATAAATAAATAGTGCCACAACCTTTTGCAAGTGACTTCAAGGGCTCCCTAATTACCATGCCCCAGGCCCATCCACAGATCTCTTTTCTCAGAGGTCCCAAAACAACAGGAACCCTAGACATCCCGACGGGCACCTCTCTCGAGATCGCAGCTCTTAATTTTATTTGGGGGAAGGGTGCTTTGCAGGGTCTGATGAAACCCGCGGGCTCTTCCCCTGGAAAATTCACACTCTTGAAACTGCGTCTTTATTCTCCGAGGATTCGGAGGTCGAGGTTAATAACCCCTGATCTCGCCGCAAACAAATCGCTGCACGTTTCAATTTACCCTTCACCCCTGGCCCCGCCCACCGTCCCACCCGCAGATTGCGCGAGCCAATCAGCGGCCGCCCCGCCCCGGTTACCAAGGCGTTGGAGGCACCCACGGACTGAACACCGGAGGGGCCGCGCAGCACCACCGCCCCCACTCGTGGTACCCAACTCCCCGGGGGAGACCGAGGACGGGAAGGGGGCCTGCCACACCCCATCCCCGCCACCAACCCGGCCCTGACCTCACCCCGCGAATAACAGCACCTTCCGGCGTTATTCGACTGCCCAGTCCTTAGCCCCCACCCCGCCCTCAGTCCCAGAAATTAAGCCTCTGAATATTCTGCCTGAACTCAACCCTCCCCTTGAAAACACACACACACACACACACACACCCCTCTCTTACCCCCACAAACTTCACCCGCTCCCCTCCCCCATGCCCTCTTCTAGACATGTCATAGGCTCAGTAACTGTTGATGGAATAAATCCCACACCTCTGAACACAGCCCCCCAACACTCATCGCCCCAGACGGCCAAGGGATTCTGGGCTCCCCTTCCCCTCCTCTCTGCAGAAGCTCCCTCCCTCCATAATCCAGCCATGCCCACGAAACCAGTCCCCTCCCCTCCTCAAAGTCCCTAAATTCCATCCAGCTCCCCCAGATTGGGAAGGGGGCAGCCACACTCTTCTCCTACCTACAGCAGCCACCCGTGTTCTCCTGGGGTTCCATATTCGACCCCGATTCTGCGCCCCCTAATCCGCCTGCATTCTGCCCACGAATCTGCTCACCATTCTACTCCACACACCCCACTTTCGGCCTGTATTCCGTCACCCCTACACTTCCCCCGGATTCTGTCCCCTCCCAAATTGTATGTAAACCCCCCACCCCCACCGGCACACACGTTTCCCACCTCTCTTCCCTTTGGAGAGCCGCCCCCCCCAAAACCCACCACCACCACTTCTGAGATTCCGGGGACCTGAGCTCCCCCTGCCCTCCCGCCGCCAACCCTGTCCCTCTACCTGCAGCCTCCCTCCTCGCTTTGTGACCAGTGGCCCATGCTGGCCGCTGATTTCACTCCAGTGCCAAGTCTCTCCTGGCTCCTCTTCTCGGCCTCAGCCTCCTGACCCCGCATCCCAGCGGAGCCTTCGAGGCCCCGCCCCCGCCAACCCGTGACGTCAGCACCCCAACCCTGCGCGCGCCGTGCGGACACCCCAGCGCCCCCATTCTGGCCCACACACCTGACCCCAGTTCTTGGGCTTCACGGACACCACGGCTCCAGCACACGAACTCCCAATTTGCCAGCCCCCAGCTGTGTCCCTCTCATCCTTCACTACGGTGACCCCTTCTCTTTTCCACTGTTGGTTACATCACCGGCCCTGGCTCCTCCTCCCAAACTGCTCTCCCGGATAGCTCAGATTTCACACCCAGGGCCGAGCTCCACGCTCGCTTGGCTTCCCAAAGACAAATCCACATCACCACCTCCCACACCCCACATGGGCAAATCACCACCCCTGGCAGCCGACCCCCCACACACACACCTGATGGCTGTTGTCTCACTCTGCAGCCGCCACCACCACATACTCCAGCCTGGCCATGACCTAGCTGGGCCCTCCAATGCAAGAACCCCATCACACACACAAACACAAACACACACACAGACACACACGTGCCTGGCCTGGATGACCCTTCTGCCCCCATTCTAAGCTCACCTCCCCACCACGTGGGGGACTTTGAGCTGGACAGGATCCCCCGGAATACAGACCAAAGCCTTTAACATTGTCCCCACGGAATGTACAGACACAAAAGCCCTTTAGGGCACCACACAATACAGACCTCCAGTGTCCAGACCCTGCCACCCTTCCACTACCCCACAAATGCCTTTTTAGCCTTAGATAAGGGTCATGCACACTTATCAACCCAGGGCCTCACCCTTAAGTCTGCTCTCTGGAAGATACAACCATCCCGTTTTACAGAGAACGAAACTGAGGCTTGCGTGGGATCCCACAGAGGACAGGAACATCCATCCCCCTACTCATTACCCAGCTGCCCTTCCCTAACCATCTTCTGCTTCCTCCCAGCACTCTCTGCTCCTTTCCCTCCCAGCCCTAACCCACATGTGGCCTTGCGCCTTAATGATGGCACATCTGCAGGCTGGGGACTCCTGGGTTCAGGTCTCGGCTCCACCACTTACCCGTGGTGTGACCTTGGGCAAATCACTTTCCTCATGAGTAAAATGGGACAATAAGAGCTCCTACCCTAAAGCTTATTCTGTTGCTAGGGAAGAAAAATAAAATTAAACTTTTAAAAAATTTTTTAAAAAGAGTTCCTACTTCATGGGATTGTTGTGGGTATTAAATTAATTAATGTATATAAGGTGCTTCGAGCAGTGCCTGGCACTCTCTGTTACCATCTGTGTGATTCGTTGATGATTATTTGACAGACCAGGAGCCCATGAGGACAGAGCTATTTTTATCATTCTTGTATCCTCAGTATCCTGGCTTTGCACAGATCAAGGACCACTTGTGAATTTAATGGGAGATGTCAGGTTATGGGGTTCCAGGCATGAGGGATACAGTCGAGGTCTTTTCCCTTCGGCTCACTCCTTGTCATCCTCCAGGTCTCAAATGGAGGATGCCACCTCCTGCAGGAAGCCCTCCCTGACTTCGCTGACTCCCTGGCTAGGTCTCAATCACCACAGTGACCCCAGCACTACCCAGCAGAGGACTGGCCACAGGAGAGGAGCTTGATGGTAACAGTTGTTTCCTTCCAGCCCAAGCTCTCAACCAGCCCAATGGTGTTTCTCAAAGTGAGGGCCAAAGAACACCAGCATCACCATGGTGCTTGTGAAAATGCAGCTTCCTAGGCCTGGTCCCAAACCTATACAAACAGAATCTCTGCAGGTGGGCCCAGGGATCTGCATTTCCTACAAGCTCCTTCAGACACTAAAGTTGAGACCCTCTGTCTTTGGGCACCACAATCTTCCCAGGTTACTACCCCACCTAACCCCAGCACCCAAGACACTCCCAGCTCAACAACCCTGCCCCATACCACAGGGAGACCCTGAGGGCAGTGAGCACGGTATAGAAGCAACACCTTTCAAGCACCTATGTGCTCTTCTAGGTGCCGAGTTCCATATGCACATGGAGTCAGACACTCTGGTGGGAAGTCTGAGCAGCTTAGTGGATATATTTTTTTTTTTAATTTTCCATTATTAAGTGAGGTGCTAAGCTTAGTGGATATAAATAAACAATAATCTACATCAAGCAGTAGTAAGTGTTATGAAGAAAAATAAAGCCAGGTAAGGGGCCAGGCAGTGGCAGGAGCTATTTTGTCTTGGGTGGGCAGCAGGGACCTATCTGTGAAGTTGACATCTGAACAGAAACCTGAAAGAGGTGACGGAGAAGCCATGTAAACACTGGGGGAACCAGATCCAGAAGGAGGGGACAGCGAGTACAAAGACCCTGGGGTGGCAATGTACTTGCTATGTTCCATGGACAGCGAGGAGGCCAGGGTGGCTGCAGCGTTTGAGCAAGGGGGACAGGGGAGAGGTGAGTGGAGGGTGCAAGAGGAAGGTGGATTGGATGGAGCACAGTAAAGACTTGCTGAGTGAGATGTGAGGCCAGGACCCTTTGAACAGAGGAGCAACATGATCTGACTTTTGTTTTAACAGGCTCCTCCTGACTGTCGAGGCCAAGGGCAGAGGGAGGCAGCCCAGTAAGGAGGCCACTGCAAAAGACCAGGTGAGAGCAGATGACTTGAACCAGAGTGGCAGCAAGGGAGGTCGTGAGACACGGTTGGATTCCAGATGTTTTAAAGGCAGAGCGAATGGGATTAGCTGATGGATAGACCCTATGTGGGTGCTCCAAGGTGTTTGTCCTGAGTATCTGGAACGATGGACCTGCCATCAACTGGGTTTGGAGGTTGAAGGAGGGAAACCTCAAGTTTGGTTTGGGACAAGTTTAAGTCTGGAAGTCAGCTGAAATTCCAAGCAGAGAAGAGTCCACCATCGAATATACCAGTATAGAGTTCAGGGCAGAGATCCAAGCTGGAAGCAGACACCTGAGAGTTATCATTATATAAAGATGGTGAAGCTAGTAAGTGACACAGAGATGAGGTCATTCTATTGATGACGAAACTTAGGCACAGAAGGGGTTAAGCAAGTCGCCCAAAGCCACAGTAATGTTCACCTGTAAGGCCACTGGCAGAGCCAGGATTCAAACTCAGGCAACCCGACCCCAGAGCCCACACTCTTAACTCCGGGTTGTATTAGTTTAAGAGTTAATCCACGAAAAACACGGTAGGTGCCTGGCACGCAGTAAACGCTACATGTATAATATGCCCCCACATCTCATGAAAGCACAGCTCATTCCTGCAGCTCTCCCTCCCCTTAATGCCGATTCCTCACTTGCCTTCCACCTAAGTTAGAGCTTACAGCTCATCGCAGGGACCTCTGTTCCTCGGCACTGCGCTGTAATAACCTGGGCCTTAAAACCCCCTATTAAAGCGCAACGCTGTGCAAGGGCATCTCTTTATTTTGCCATCTGCCGTCCCTGCCTTACAACTTTCCCCATTAAAGACCCTCCCAAGAATACAGAACATTCCCGACTCACAAACCTCTCTCTGCCTCTCAACCCTCACTCAGGCGCCCACCCGTGTTAAAGGGCACCCTACCCCTGGTTCCCATCCTGCCGGGTCACCTGCCCGCCGCAGCCCACTCTCCCCGAGAGGACCCCTCCCCCCAGGCCCGCCGCCCCGGCCCGCGCACCCACACCTCCCGCCGCCGCTCACCTTCTCCGCGGACAGCCCTCGTCGCGAGCCGTTCAACTGCCGAAGCTCCAGCCCCGCCCCAGGATCCGGCCTTCTCGCTCCTGATCGGTCCAGGCAAACCCGCAGCCAAGTTTCCATTAGTCAAAGCAGACGCCCGTCATTCCGTCCCGCCCCCCCAGAGGAGAACCCGCCCTCCAAAGCTTGCAATTGGCCAACTTGGAAGAGGCGTTCCAAAATGGGTTGGGGAGGACCCTATCGTTGGTCTCCTTTCCAATCGCTACTGGCCAATAGTGCTGTCAATCATACAAGGGCTGTTCCCCCAGAGTGGGAGGGAGATAAGCTCGGAAGTAGCCCATTGACCCCGCCCACCACCCCCTGCTGTAGCGTAGGCCGCACCCACGTGGAGGGGAGGGGCTGTAGGAGAGATTTGGGACGTGCATGCGCAGAGGAAAGTCCTGGAAGCGGTCCGGAAGCTGCGGGAATGTTCTAAACATAAAGACAGGTTGAGTTTTATCATCGCTCAGTACATTCCGAGGCTACACGAAGCACTTTGCAGGCCTCGGTTTGTTTGTTTGTTTGTTTATTTATTTATTTATTTATTTTTTTTGAGGCAGAGTCTCGCTTTGTTGGCCAGGCTAGAGTGAATGCCGGGGCCTCAGCCTAGCTCACAGCAACCTCAAACTCCTGGGCTCAAGCAATCCTGCTGCCTCAGCCTCCTGAGCAGCTGGGACTACAGGCATGCGCCACCATGCCCGGCTAATTTTTTCTGTGTATATTAATTGGCCAATTAATTTCTTCCTCTTTATAGTAGAGACAGGGGTCTCGCTCTTGCTCAGGCTGGTTTCGAACTCCTGACCTGGAGCAATCCGCCGCCCCCCGCCTTGGTTTATTTAAAGATCATAACAACCTTGCAAAGTAGGCGATATTATGATCTCCACTTTGCCACTAAGAAAACAGGCTCAGAGAGGTGTAGCCACTAGGCTGGGATCACACAGCTATGAACGACCCCTTCTTTGAGCCAATGAGTCATCAACAGGGCGGATCCAGCTTAAGGAATTGAATGGGCGTGCCCTCTTTAAGAAAAGGAAAATCAAAATTACAAACAAAATTGGATATGAACATGAAACTTCAGTTAGACTGAAATAATAACAAATGACATATTTAAAAGAGCTGACATTTACCACAAACATTTCAAAATCCCAAAAGGTAACGTAATGTTTTTATTAATTTACTGGCTGACACACCTCTGTGATATGTCTCCTACTTTTTGGGCTGCATACACATTTCATAACTTCCTTATCTACAGAGAAAAGAGAAAAGTAAATTGTCTTTCCTCTAGCATGTTTGATGAAAATTTTTTTATTCATTGTAATTTAGAACAAGTTTTGGCTTCACAAGTCAGTATTGGTGATGTCATCTAGATCTTCTGGAAATTTGGGAAAACTTACATGAAGTTTCATTCATACGTTAACTATATGATTTGGAAAATGTTTCCATGGACTAACTTCTAACTCAGTCCTTTCAATACTTGATATCTGCATCACACAGATGCTTCTAGAGTGAGCCACTAAAGGACATTCATTCGGTGGTGAGGCATGGTTGCTCACACCTGTAATCCTAGCACTTTGGGAGGCCAAGACGGGAGCATCGCTTAAAGCCAGGAGTTCAAGACCAGCCTGGGCAACACAGCAAAACACTGTCTCTACAGAAAATGAAAAAATTAGCCAGGCATGGTGGCCTGCACCTGTAGTCCCAGCTACTCAGGAGGCTGAGGCAGGAGGATTGCTTGGGCCCAGGAGTTTGAGGTTGCAGTGAGCTATGATGACATCACTGCACTCTACACTGGGTGACAGAGTGAGACCCTGTCTCAAAAAAAAAAAAAGAGAAGAAGCATTTCAAAAAAATAAAAAAAAAAAAAAGAGAAGACAGTGAGTACAAAGGCCCTGTGGTAGGCACATGCATGATGCACTTAATAAACAGCAAAAAAGTCAGGAGTGAGTGAGTGGGAGTGTATTAGAAGACAACATAGGGAAAGGGGCCAGAAACCAGGTAGTATGGGGTCTTATAGGCCATTGTGAGGTCTTTTGCTTTCACTCTGAGTGAGAGAGGGGGGCCATTGAAGGTGTTAGGTGCAGGTGACATAATTTTACTCATGTCTTAAATTATCATAATGGTGGCTGCTTTAAGAATAGCCTGTTAAAATAATTTTGGTATGAGAAACAGTTTGCTGGTTCCTCAAAAAGTTAAACATCATCCTACACCAATTCATCTGGGAAAAAAAAAAAAAAAGTTAAACATCGAATTACCACGTGACCCAGCAATTCCAGTTCCCAAGAGAATTGAGAACTGGTGTTCCAACAAATACTTGGATATGAATGTTCATAGCAGCTTTAGTCACAATAGCCAAAAGGTAGAAACTGCCCAAATGTCCATAAATCAATGAACAGTTAAATCAAATATGGCATATCTGTACAATGGAATAATATTCTGCCAGAAAAAGGAATGAAATAAATACTCATACATGTTATGACATAGATAAACCTTGAAAACATCATGCTACATGAAAGAAGCCAGACACAAAAGGTCACGCGTATGATTCCATTCATACGAGTACACAATAGGCAAGTCCCTAGAGAGAGAAAATGGTCTCATGGTGTCAGGGATTGGGGGGAGGAGGGAATGGGGAGTCACTGTTTCATGAGTGTGGGGTCTCCTTTGGGAGTGATGAAAGATGATAATTATACAACATTCTGAATGTGCTAAATGCCACTGAATTGTTCTACTTGAACATGGTTCATTTTATGTTCATGTGAATTTCACCTCAATCAGAAGAAATTTTAAGCAAAAGATTAAAAGAAATACTTCAAGTGCGAGGTGACGGTGGCTTTTCCGAGGGTGGTGGCGGTGGAGGTGGTGAGAGGTGGTTAGAATCTGCATATATTCTAAAGGTAGAGCTGACAGAATTTGCTGTCAGATTGAGTGTTGGGAGGGAGAAAAAGGAGTCAGAAATGATTCCAAGGTTTTTGATCTGAGAAAGATGCCAAGACGAAGTTTCCATTTACTGAGATTAGATGAATTGCAGGTATGGGGAGACAGGGGGCGAATGGGGATTAGGAGTTTGTTTTTGGACACATTGATGTACCTAATAGACTTCCAAGTGGAGATGTTTTAGAAGATAGGTGAATACATGAGTCTGAATGGGAGGGATGAGGTCCAACCTTGATTGATACACATATAGAGACAGGTAGACATTAATAGATAGATATTTAGGAGTCCATCACCAAAGGAGTGAGTAAAGAAAGAAAAGAGAAGAGGACCCAGGACCGAGCCCCAAGACCCTCCAATGTTTAAAGATCCCAGAAACGAGGAGAAATGAGTATAGACGCACCACTGAGCTAGGGGGGAATCACAAGAGAGGGCTGTCCTAGAAGCCAAGGGAGAAAATACACCTCGGAGGACCACTGCGGCCATCAGTGAGACGGGATTGCTCAAGAAATGTGAGGCCAAGTCACTGGATTATCCAACTGCATCCCATGGAGGCCACTAGTAACCTCACTAAGAGCTGATTTGGCCACGTGGCAGCCACAGCCTGATCGCAATGATTCTGGAAGGATTGGGAGGAGCAGAATCAGAGTCCTGAGTACAGATACCTTTCTTTGGGTTTTGTTGTAAAGGGCAACAGAACGTTAGAGCTGGAACGTTGGAAGGAGAAGGGCCGGAGGGGCATATTTGCATCGGAATGTGTTGTGTTGCCCATGGGAATGGTCCAGGAGAGAAGGGAGAGTGGATGGTGACGGAGAGAGAGGGGAGACTTGCTTGGCTGAAGTCCCTGTGTAGGCGAGAGAGGATGGGGTCTAGCACACACATGTAGAAGTTGGCCTCCTTGCCTGAGCGTGTTTTGTAGCTCACAGGAGGAAGCCAAGTAACGGATCGCATGTGTTGGGAACCCGGGAGAGATCTCTTCGGATGGCTTCGCTTCTCCCCAGGAACTAGGAGCAGGGTCAAAGGGGAGAGCGAGGTTGGAGAGGAGGCGGAAGAGATTGGAGGAGGGAGGCACAGGTGTGCAATGGACGTCCAGGAGCAGGGGGGGAGTGAATGGACAAAGGTTGCCTGGCAGCCCAGGCGAGACACCGTGAAATTGTGGCGAGCCCAGTCTCACTGTCTGGTGTGTTTTTCTCCAGCCACGTTCTGTGGGTGCAGGTGCAGAGCAGGCAAGAGTAGGGTGAGAACTGTGTACCCCACAGAAGAGCTGCTGTGTGGGATCCCCATAAAAACCTGGGAACAAGAATGGTACCCAGTGATTGCTGGAAAGAGGGTTGCTGTTGATGGTTATGAACACTTTGATCTGGGGAACAGAGGGGCTCCGGAAAAGAGAGAGCTCATGGGTCTTACCCAGCTCTCTCCCTTCCCAGATGGGGAGATGGCCCAGATAATGTCCCTTCTGGGTTTTATATACTCTAACATGATTTTATTTTTTCAAATCTAAGGTGCTGTTATTAATATGCACGTAAAATGTCCCAGTAGCTCAACCCATTATGCAATTTGCTGAGGCAATCAGGAAACATTCCCCAAACCCTTCTGGGCTGCCCTGTCAGATTATTGCAGCTGTGACAATACAAAATGTTCGTGAAGCCCTAGGTGCTCTTCATGCATCATGTCATTGAGAGACAGTGAGATGGTTAATGAGCCTCTCTGCCTGGGTTCGAATCCCAGCTCTGCTTCTTATAATCAACTTCTACCTGTGTCGGTTTTCTCATCGGTAACATAAGGGTGATGACGGCAGCAGGTGCCTGCTAGGATTTTTGTGAGGAATGAACGAGTAAACATGTCGAGTGCTTAGCACAGGGCCTGCCATGCATGTAGCAAACACATAATAACTGGTGGCTGTTAAGGTCTTGTTGAATCCTCATAACAGTCTG